AGGGAGGCTGGGCTCCCAAGATCATCTCTCTGAAGCCAAAATGCAACATTTTACAGTATTGTTTGCAACACATAGACCATTGATACAGTGATTTAAATCAGAGCCACTGTTCACATACCTATCACTAACTGGCTAAACCCAGGCAAGCACACACGAGCCACAAGACCCCCAAAATGGTAACAGCACGGGCAGGGGAAATCACTGTTCCTGGACCGTACCGTAGACGTGGCTCTTGGGGAGAGACAGCACCGTGGGGGTGGGGGCTTATAATCATTCCTATACCCACATTTTCCACAGGCTGTGTTCATTATGGAAGATATCTCGCTGCTGAGGGTGAGCAGGGAATCAAGGAAGGGTCTTCTCCAAGACTGCAGCTTTCACCGTGGCTCTTACGTGGCTCCCCTGTGTGCAGCAATGGCCCCCCCTGCCCCTCCCATGACGGCAGAGTAGTGCAGGAAAGTTACCCTTAATGGGGCAAGAAAAAAAGCAGCTCTGCCAAAGAACTGGATTGCCCTGTATCTCCATGAGAGTTTCATGGACATCTCTGGTGCAGATTCCCATGAAAGTGAGGGAGTCAATCAACACCCTGTTCCACCACTCAGACTGGGCATGTGGTAGTACACACATCATACAGACACAAGCCTGCTTTCTGCAACCCTCCTGCCCCCAAGAACTCACTTCAGTGATTCGCCAAATCAAAGCCACTTACCAGGGGCCTCCTCTCCTGTTTGAACTTTGCCAAGCTCGAACAGCTGTGACTGGCTAGCCTCCTCCAGGGTAGAGAAGAACTCCTGGATGCATGCACCTCTGACCTCCAACTCATCCTCTGCCTCTGGGTCTCCCTCCGCCTCCACATCCTCATCCAAGATTTCCTCCTCCTGGCTCGGTCCACTATCAACTGGCACGTGAGCCACCGAAGTATCCACAGTGGCCTTCGCAGTGGAGGTGGGGTCACCACCAAGTATCGCATCCAGCCCTTTGTAGAACCGGGAGCTGGTGGGTGCAGCACCGGAGCGGCGGTTTGCCTCCCGTGCCAAGGAGTAGGCGTTCCGCAGCTCCTTCACTTTGACCCTGCATTGCAGTGTATCCCGGTCATGGCCCCTTTCTCTCATGCATCGTGAAATCTGTCCATAGGTATCATAATTTCTACAGCTGAAGCACGGCTGGTACTGGACAGTGTAGCCTGATTTGAGGTGTGTTAGTGGTGTTGCTTTATTAATTTAATATACTTAATTTTAAATTAATTTATATTAATAATTATGGATATTAATTAGTATGGGTTTAGGCTTGCCAATTTGTTTGATTAGAAGATAAAGTTTGTTTTGAATTAGGCTTTATAGAGTTTATAAAAGGACCTTTGGGGGTATGACAGGAAGCTTACACTGAGACAGGTATAGTCATAAAGACTTTTTATTAAAATCAATGACATAGTAAGTAAATGGTAAAACAGTTAGAATTACAAAATTATAATTGTATCAGTTATTCAAGATATATATATATATGGTAATACATGCTTATGTGCTGCAAAGGTTTGGTTACACCCTGTTTTGATGACCTGGTGTTGAAAGATATAGGATCACACCTTTGGTGGTGCCTCTGACAGAGGAAACTAATGTCACACCTCTGGCAGAGGAAGCTAATGCAAAAGCTGTTAGAGCTGTTTACTTTCTAACTATGCAAATAAGCATTAATTAATTAATTAATCCTTAGAGCTACAACAGCCTCCTCTCCCCAAATACTGATGAGGTCCAGCATTTCAACATTGCTCCAAGAGATTGCCTGGTGCATGGAGCAGGCATGGTCACCTGGAAAGATGCACTGAGACCACTGCATGCATCACCAAGCAAACAGGAAGGGGACTTTCAAAATTCCCAAGGAATTTAAGTGGGCGGGATGTTCATGGTTGGTCACCTGAGGGCAGTGCAGTAGAGTTCAAACCGATGACCAGAGAGGCGAGACCAAGGATTGTGGGACACCTCCTGGAGGCCAATCGCAGCACTGTAATCGACCAGGGTGTCTATACTGGCACCACAGCGCTGTAGCCCCGACGCTGGAAGCTGTACACCTCTCGTTGCGGTGGGTTTTTTTACACCGCTGCAACTGCTCAGTTTCTGCGCAGTAAGTGGCTTGGCAGTGTGTACACCTCGGGAGTTACACTGCAGAAAGCTGCTTTACTGGGTAGAAACTTGCCACTGTAGACAAGACCATAGATGGCTTACAGAAGAACGCAAGACTGGTCATACTGGGTCAGACCAATGGTCCATCTAGCCCAGCATGCTGCCTGAGAGTATCCAGTGCCAGATGCATGAGAGGGAATGAACAGAACCAGGCTTGTTGACCTGCAAGATGAAGGTCTATCAGCCTTACCTTTAACTTCATTGTTGTGGATTCCTGCTTACCCTATCTTACCACACCTCCCCCGAGGTCTCTGGGCAAATCAGGTGTGAACCACTCCTTTCATATAGATGTGTCCCAATTCAGCTGAATTGAGGCAGACTTTGGGCCAATGTCAGTTTTGAAAAGGCCCGCTTAACCCAGTAGTTTCTCAAAGTATCTGTTGCTGTGAACCGCATGTAGTGTGGATGTGTGAACCCCAAAGATATCAAACATGAAAGAAACACAAGGCCAGTTTTGAGGAGGTTTCCAGAGCCAGACCTCAGGAAAAGGGGCCTCAGCACCTATAAAAATAACTGGTTACAAAATTTAAATTAAATTAAGAAACCAAACCAAACCAAAAACCAACTCAGAAAAGCTACCATCACACATCCATCACCATTTTAGATTTTG